GAGATAGATAGAGATAGATAGAGATAGATAGAGATAGATAGAGATAGATAGAGATAGATACAGATAGATACAGATAGATACAGATAGATAGAGATAGATAGAGATAGATGGAGATAGATAGAGATAGATAGAGATAGATAGAGATAGATAGAGATAGATTGATGGATTGATGGATGGATGGATGGATAGATAGATATTTAGTGACGTAGAAATTGTGGTATCCAAGTATCCAACTTAAACCAAAAAAATGTGGTAGAACTACTTATTTAATATAGAACTCACAGAAAAAATACTAATGATAACAACAATTATATAAGTCTTTAAAAAAAAAAAAAAGAATATATATATATTATATATATACATATATATGTATCCAGAATCGACTCAGATGAGTTCAACCTGAAATTCAAGAGCTCGAAGTTTTGATCTAAAATTGACTTCAGTCAACCAACAGAATTTATGTTGGGATGGTTTTTCACGACTTACATAAACAGAGATAGAACATGATGGAGCTAATTATTTGGAACCTGTGGCATTTTTTCTTGGGATCCTAAGCATCTTTTGTTTTAAATGTGATATGACGATCCACGTGATTTCCGACGAAGGTCATGACCCAAATCTGTGGGTATCAAGCAATTCAGCCTTTCAACAATGGGGTGACCTAGTAAGGTAGATTATGGTAGATTAATGTAGCAAACCTGATGTTAGATGCCCAGGGGGATGGTTCATTAATATATTGGGTTGGCCACAGTTCCATGTTGGCTGACTGGAAGGGTAAAAAGGTCACCAGATCACCAGTTGTCCACAAGGCAGCTCGGTCCCCAGCAGATCATCGGGCATGATGCTGCAGGCATTTCGCTGGTCCACGTCTGGCTGTGGAGCTGGATATGTGGGAACCACGGATTTGGGCAATTTTGAGTGTGGATATCTCCACTAGCAAACTTGCAAACGACTTTTTAGGGTGACTGTAGAAGCCATAGTCACTATTATTAGTGAATCCATAGTGATCTATAATGCGCATTTCTTAAAGTCATTTTAAAATCAATAAGGATCAAGAAGCCCTTTTTTGGGAACCGCTAGAAATGCGGGGACTCCATGAGCTCAATCTTCGTTTGTTGCACCTCCATTGCCATCAAAGTCAATGACTTCAGCGATTAACACCACCGGATGATCTGGGCAGACCTGGCAGGACTTGGAACCAAGCCCCGGTGAAAACATGGTCTGCCAAGATGTCAGATGTCACAAGTCATCACAGAGTCCTTGGTAAATATACCCTCTGGTAATTTAACGTAACTATTGAAAATGACCATTTATAGTGAGTTTTCCCATTAAAAATTGTGATTTTCTATAGCTACGTTAGTTTACCAGAGGGTATCAGAACAAAAAAACATAAAAACTTCCCATGATTTCTCTTGCTGTGATTCGTTGGACGATCCTTGAAGTTGCTAGTTGCTGCCATGGCGAATGGGATGATCCTGTGATTTTCCCCTATCACTCATCACTTATCAATGTTTCACTCACCCAAAAAACAACATCCTGGGAGTAAGTTGGAAAGTTGTCTAGCCACTCCGCAAACTTTTCGCAAACTGGGAAACTCTCAGTTTGGCTCCGATTCGCGGACGTTGCCCGTAGCCCCTTGGGCCCCGGCAGATTTCAGGTGCATCAAAGTGTCCAGCACTGAATGACTCGAGACTACAGCATCTTTGCTCGCCTCGCAAGATGGCGGAGAAGGGATGGTAAACCTAGCACCCATCAAATGCTGACTTGGGGATGGATTATGAAATTGGGCTGTAGGCTTAGCACATGATTCAACAACTATCCAATTAAATGTCATAAATGTATTTAAATGTATATAAATGTATATCAATGTGGGGATCTTCAAAATTCAACAGCTATGACTAGTCATCTCCAGTTCGGGGGGGGGCAGAATTTCACCGGTCATCTCAACGCTCCGCCTGCTTCACCGAGGGCTTCATGTCAAAGGAAGCCCGTGGTCTGGTATCACCATACCTCAGCAATGGCCGCCAGTATAAAATACCCTGCTTGATTGGTCCTTGGGAGTTATACTACCAAGGTTATTGGGATATATATATATATGTGTATATGAGGGCTTCCATAAATGTGGGATCCCCAAAATGGTTGGTTTATAAGGGCAAATTCCGGGGTACCCCTATTTCAGGAAACCTCCATATTATATATAATTATATAATAAAGGGAAACCTGTCAACCAAGTAGCAATTGGAGCCTCTCCATGAATGGTCGATTTGAAACTGCGACCCCATCAACTTTCCTGGATCAGGACCATGTTTGTTGCAGCTTCAGATTGTGCGGCTTAAATCACATGTTTTTTTCTCATGAAATCTAAGGATGATTGACCCCACCAACCACCGGTTGACCCCACCAACCACACCAAGGTGCCACCGCACATCGCAGCGTCCAACGTGAGGCCTCAGTTGAGCTGAACTTGGGCGACGGGTGACTCACGGCTACATCCTGGATGAACTGTGATACTTCACCAACCTGAGCTAAGGCCTAAGGAAAGGTGAGGTCACAGGTCGCAACATTATCCAATTACATGTAGAGCTCAGAAATGTTGGGGACACTCACAAACGTGGTCCGTTTTGAACTCTGGGGTCATTCACAGAATCTTCCAGAATCTTCAAGCTTCCCTTTTTTACATGGTAGATAAATCTTCTGGAAGATTCCTGACTCTGAAGTTGACAGTCATGAAGATTGCCCTGGATCTGGGGATGGTTGGATCAGTCCCCGGAAAAGCGCCAAGGCACCACAAAGTGACCTGCTCTCCAATGTCCTCCTTCCCCTCGGCGGACCGATGGTTTTGGACTGGTTTCCAACATCTAACGGTCTAACAAGCCTGAAACCTGAACCCCAAAGTGTTGTAAGGTCAAGAAATTTGAGCCCTAGCCATTTTCATGATCATTCCTGGGTCTTACGTTTGCCATAGATTCTTGTCGTGGGTAGTCACTGGTAGTCATTCTTACCCACATAGTTTGATCTGTGAAGCTTCCATTTTGGAGTCAATTTTTTTTGTGTGTGTGTGTGACGCCCCTTGCTCACTGGCCACCAAGTCGAATGGAGGCTAGCTGAAGAATGATGTTCGCATCCTAGCTCACGTTTACATTCCCCCCTTGAAACTATACCCTCTGGTAATTTAACATAGCTATTGAAAATCACCATTTTTAATGGGTAAATCAACTATAAATGGCAATTTTCAATAGTTGTGTTAGTTTACCAAAGGGTAAGCCAACCCCTGAGTTTTCTCGACTTTCCCAGGCCCCAGCTGAAGTGGCATAGACGAAGTAGGACTCCTGAGCAATGGCCTGGCAATTGGACCATCGGCGATGACTCGGTTGGGGCATCCTGGAGGGTTCCATCATAGATTCCAGGGCACCTCAGTTGAAAAAAACCCATAAGGCCACCATCCAACCTGAGGTTTTTGCTGAAAATTGAATCCCAAGAATTCCCAGAGTTGATCTAATTTGAAGCCACAGTTCCTAAGGTCACCGTGTCATGCGCACCTTGCGGGTCGAAAACTGCACCAGACGCTGCATCAGAGTCCGAAGCATAGGATCTTCGCGCGCGTCTAAGGCCTGGCGAGGAGCCAGATATTTCTGTGAGAAAATATATCCAAGATTTCCCCTGAAGTAATGACAGTATATTTCTTAGTTCTTATTTGTATGTATATATGTCTAAAAATATACAGTATGTATATATATATATAGAGTGTATATCTATATATATATACTGTCTACATTCAAAGTTGTGCATTGTTTAGCTATCTTTAGCTATAATCTCTAGTTGTTCGGTTAAGCACTTCCCAACGAACTGCTTCCGTTCAAGCTAGCAGTTTGACTGCGTCATCACGTCGAAATGGGCCTCCTTCTTCAAGGCCAAGAAGAGCTCCGGGCGCCAGGGCACCTGGCAACTGGCTATCCAATAAGAGGGGATGGTGTTTATACCACGGCATTAAAATGCTGATGACTTGGAGATGGTTTATGAAATTGGGTTTACATGGGTTTACCATATGATCAAAGATGTTTCAATCTGTTTGTCTCAATATATGTTTTTTTTATTGCCCAACTCATGACGTCCTAGTCGATGGGGTGTAACCGTTAGTAACCAAGTTCGAGAAACAAACAATTGGTGTCCAAGGATTCCAGAAGACTTGGCCTCAGAAACAGAAGAAAACAACCCCTTGGAGTGGACGAGACAACGTGCCCATTTGCCAACCAGCTACGTTGAGGTACTGCTTTCTGCGCCCCAAAGTTGGGTTAAAGTTGGAAAATAACGAGTTAAATCATAGGCTCCCATATTTTTCCGTACTTTCCCATATGTTCACCATATTTTTCCGTTATTTTGTCCATCTGTTTTCGCCCAATCGTCATTTGCTGCGTTCAACCCCAGCAGTTGGCCGAAGTGTTTGAGTTGTTCGGCCCGATTTCATCCCTGAAACTACCAGAACTCTCGCGCGACATTCGGAGCCCACCCTTCGCAGTGCCACAGCCATCGGGCTGGAAGCCATCTTTTCAAAGGAGAGGTTCCTGCCAGCGGCTTTGTGGTGAGTTTAAGGGATTCTATGGGGATGTTTAGATGATTCTATGGTGATTCAATGGGACTTTAAGCGGATTTTACATGATTTCATATTAATTTATATGAGATTTACTAGGCTACTAGGGTTGAATGAGATTTAACAAATTAACCAACAAAGTGAATATGGGATGGCTGTGGATGACCCCAATGGCAATTTCATAAGGGAAAAATGATGATTCAGCAGGAAAATTCATTAAAAATCTAAGGATTTTTGGGCGACCCTATATTCACACAAACCGATACGCGTTCTCAGTGCGCTTCGCATATTTCTCAATTAAATCATCATAAAATACTGTAAATTGCCCTAATGGTTTATGGCGTTCAACACTCATCCCGGCCTGAAGGCCTTCGACGGAACCTCAGAATCAAGGAGAGTGATGCGTTTCTCATTGAAAAGGAGGGTGACATTTCTTGGAATTTCCCCCAAATCAACTCATATGAACTCGAATCAACTCAAACTAAGTCAAAATGAACTCGAATCAATATTCTTCAGTGGCTTCTTTCAACCAGCCCAAAAAGAAACTGGGGCGCACTCGCGAGGACCCAAAAACACCGGTGAATTTTAGGTCCCCCACTTGTTGGCGGTACGCCACTGGCCCCTGGGGAGATCATCCTTTACCACACGTGAGGTTTGAAGCACAGTCAAATGCCTACCCTCTGGTAAACTAACATGGCTATGGAAAAACACCATTCTTAATGGGAAAATCCACTATTAATGGCCATTTTCAATAGCTACGTTAAATTACCAGAGGGTATGTATTCAAGCAATGGTGTTCACATCAAAACATTTCGTCCATTCCCCAATTCAGAGGGGGTATGAGTCCAAGCGGGAAAGTCACAAAAATTTATTGCCTTTTACGTAAATGACAAGAGGGAAAATGATGATGATAGACCATGGGATAAAATGAGTTTCAAATTTTCGAGATAACCTCTGGCTATGCTTCAACCGACCTTTTTTGGGCCCTGGCAAAAAGACTGGAGGTGGTAATCATGGTGAATGATGTCAACCCTGGATGAACAAACCGCTGGGCTGTGTGTCTGGGGAGATACAAATTTCGTCGCGGATTATCGCCATCTTCTTTGGTGCGCTCCAAATCAATCAACCAGGATTTATTCAACTGAGCTTGACGCGAGGAAAAGAAACTATGATCGTGAAACTCTTAGTAGCTGCTTGGTTCCCCCTTTCCTACAGAATCTGGAGGTTTCCTAAAGTATAGGTACCCCCAAATCATCCATTTTGATAGGATTTCCAATCATAAACCATCGTTTTATGGGGTACCTCCATTTCGGAAAACCTCCATACGGCTACCCATAGCGAACTCGCCGAGGTCAGGACATCGTCCTCTTCGATTTGCCTTGCATCCAGTAGGGTCCCTTCCAGGGCTTTTTTTTTGGACCCTTCCTGACACATTTGCCTTTGGGGGTCTGATCATGGGGTATATCACTAGTATACGATGACCACTGGGTTGGGGAGAATTACGGGGTACCCTGGCACCTCGAACTATTCATTTTGGTCATTGAATTCAACCAGCGACAGACCTGACCCAGGTCATTTCCAAGAACTGTCAAAAAGTCAAAAAAAACAAAAGGTTTACCTCAACAGTTTCCCCATCCAAAAACTTATACAAAAGGATATATATATACTATACATATTATAAATATATATATATACCTATTATAAATATATATATCATACATATTATATATATATATATACACTTTCTGTATGGTGTCCCCTTCCATTCCATTTTTTCGTTGCTTAAACCCCCAGGCAGCCAAATGAGCACCCCAACGAGAAGGTGGTGATACCATCCTGCGAAACTGCGATCATCCCATGGAATGGGTCAAAACCCTGGTACCCCTGTAGTTCACATCAAAATAGCTGGGATTTATGGATGTGAATAACCCCCTAAAAATGCTATTTTCATAGGTATTGATCCATACCCAAATGGGTATGTACACACCCGAATTTGCTGAAAAAAAATGTGGAAAATGATCATTTTCCAGACAAACACCCACTGTATACACCGTTTAGAATGGTTAGTTTCCCCACTTTGTTGATGCTTCTACCCCCATTTCAGACCTGCTCTTCATCACCTTCCAAGACACCTTGGCAGGACGTGCCGAAAGCTGAGATGGGGATAGCAATGAGATTCTATAAGCAACGGGGATTATATGCGAATATGTGGCATTAGATGGAATTACATGGGATGATATGCCTGCAAATGAAGGACGAAGCTGGACCAAATGCCATGTCATTCATGGGAAAATGATGACGAACCCATCTGAGATTCTTGCCGGGGGGCTTGAAAAACACTGCAGGTGGAGGCTGATCCCATCAAAGATGTCCATGGGTGTGTATTAGAATATGCATATTACCCTGGTTGGTTTTTATGTCCCAACATCGCTTTGTAGACTCAGCATTCTGTTCCAAAAGGAAGTACGGAACTCCGCACTTCCAAGGGGTAGGCACTAAGATTGGCAGGATTTGGGAATTAGATGGAATTCGTTGAAGTTTCTCTCGCTGATGGTTTGCATTCACCATCCATGGTTTTTCAGTGTCAACCATGTTTGACCCATCATTTTTTCGTGCCCAGTTTACTAACCCCATCCCCGAACCTGGTCATTCCGAATGATTCCCCAAAGAAAATCAGGAAAGTATCGCTTTTTCACCGCCACCTTTGCCACCTTTCCTGGCCTTCAAACTCGGCTTCCTGAGATTCAGAGAAATTCCTGGCAAGGCCGCTCCCGGCGCAGGAAATCGAAAAACTGGAAACTACAGATATCTGACTGTGGCCCAAGCAGAAATGAACATCCATTCACCGCCATTCACCGCCATTCACCACCCTTCTTTTTGGGAAAAGTGATTGACCCACAAAAAAACAATGCCATGCCCCGTTTCAGACGGGCGAAATCGGCATTGCGTGAAATTGTATCCTGCAGAAAAACGAAACCCAGTCTTCAAAGCCTTTGACAGTGATACAAAATTGGGGAACTCCGATAAAGCCATTTGCATACGTACATGATATGTCGCCATGGTTCCTATGCTGTTCAATCCCCTACATCCACCATGGGGACTCTGGGGGGCTGTTTAATAACGACCGTGGGAAGGGTCACTTCCCCAACTGATGACATTCCTGTACTGTTAGTTGACAAACATATTGATTGCTCTGTTTGAGAATATGTGCTAGTATAATCATCTGAATCGTATCGTTGGGAAACTCTGATTGTAGCTCCCCAGCTCCTCATTCAATCAGAGAATCTGGATACCTAGCCCCTCAGCTCACTGCTCCCTCAGGCTCCCTCCATTCAGCACAGGGGGCCTCTTGTTCACCTTTGTCGCCCGTGCGGAAGCCCCGGTGGCTGGAGCCGTGCTCGGCCGGTCTTCCTCGGCACGGACCTGCGCGCTATGGTAGCGGGGGATACCACCCATGGATGGGACGATGGGAGGTCTATTTTTGGGATATCTAAGATAGATTGAAATAGATTGAAATGGATTGAAATAGATTGAAATAGATTGAAATGGATTGAAATGGATTGAAATAGATTGAAATAGATTGAAACGGTCTTGAAACTTAAATGGAAATCGATGGAGATGGATTGAAACAGCAGTTTGAAACGAAGCTTTACCACCGAATCTACCTTGACTTCCATTTGGTGCAAGTCATCCAACCCCTTCCCCGCGGGGCGCACATCCCTTCCAAACTGAGGAGGGCCATGTCCTGCGAACGCTGACGACAGGCCATACAACCCGCGGTGCAATACCTGGACTACTCATGGGGCTTGGACCAACCGGCCTAGCCCAGCTGGAGATGGCTTGGGTCATGACCTAACTGAAGTCATTTAGAGGTGACCAAAAACAGAGAGTTGGCCAGTTTGGAGCCAGAAAATATCTCCGAGACCATTCCTTCCCAATGTTAAACACCCCCGTTCCATGGTCCCTATATGTAAATCCCATAAATCCGCCATGGTTTCGGGGGGTGTTTAATATTGAGGGGAAGTGATCAATTAACTACAATACAAGCCATAAGACTCACCATGCACCAAAATTGACCCAGCATGACCCAAGTCTGTTGAACACCCGAAAACGGATGGCTCAATACCAAAAAATCACCAGCCATCTGGGTTTTCTTCCCCCAATGTTCACCGAAAATTATGCAGAAGTTGCCTCGGGTGGCAACGACAGCTCATGTCCTGGGGGTGGTCCGTGCGGAAACGGCACGGGTCCTGCAGCCTCCCGGGCACAGTTCGCATGGAGGTGGAAAATCCAAGCTTTCCTGATGGAAATATAGTAAAATTTTATGTAATTATTCTTTTCCATGGAAGAATGTGGATGGTATGTGGATGGTATGCGGATGGTATGTGGATGGTATGTGGATTGTATGTGGATGGTATGTCACGAGATGATGGGGGGCTTGGAAATGACAAAAGACGTGTCAGTTTCAAGGCTTTCAGATTTCATTGTTGATCCCAATCTCCTAATCCCCGCTCCAAGGCAGCCTCTCGCGTGGCTGGGGCCGTGGAGGGCCGGCCATCGATTTCCTCCTTCAGAAAGTCCTCCTTCGGGAAGCGCGCCGAATCGGGACCTCGGGCATGACAGATTTCTCAGGGGACATCTCTGGGGACGTCCTATGAATAACATCCCCAATGACCAGAAATGGCTCAAGCTCCGGCAGGTTCATCACCGCGTGGCGAACAGCTTTGATGAACGGGCATGCCATAGCTGCTATTGTGCTTCCATGTTCGGATGATATGCCCATGAAACAAGAGAATAATGCAGATGCCGAATCCAAGACCCACAGGTAGACTGGTCATTTTTGTGATCGCTATATAAGCCATCCAATCTTTTGCATTTTGGGGGCACCTCCCACAATCTGGAGCCCTGCAACCTGGAATCCTGGAATCACAATTCGTGGAAGGCTTTCGATGGCGACTGCTGCTGGGGAACACCCATTTACATCAAGTCTTTTTGCTGAAGAACCCATTCAAGAAAGGTGGCATTGTGCCAAATACTCATCTTATTCCTTATGCTTCCTCGTTGAGGGTGCTAACCACTCACATAAAAACCCAAAAGGAGCCCCAAATTGGATGATCCAAAAACAGCGACCGCTGGGATCACCATACGCAGACAGCGGAAGACCCCTCCGTTCAAGCGAAGGGCACCAGACTGGGCGGTGTGGCTGATGGGTGGCTGAGTGGTGCCTGAACTGTGGTTATCAACTCCGGCGGAGGGGAGAATTCGACCAGCAAGACATGTAATGAAAAACTACCCTCTGGTAATTTAACGTAGCTATTGAAAATGGCCATTTATAGTGGATTTGCCCATTGAAAATGGTGATTTTCCATAGTTATGTAAACGTTTACCAGAGGGTATCATTTAGCAAAGGGAATTCCACCAGCAAAATCAGAAATTCCACCAGCATGGATGTTGAAGGATCATCCCCACCAGGTGCCCCGGACTTGTTGCCCATCGGATGGCAGGACCAGATCTGGGGGAACACCTGAATGAACTCCCACAGTTCCGTACCTGGGAAGGGGAAGAAAGACCCTGAAGCTATGAAGAAACACCATCGAAGCGAAACGTTTCTGGCATTCACTGGGGCTGAACTGGGGATTTTGCAGCAAATCCAGATGATTGTGGCGGCATTTTGGGGGAGAAGGTGGGGACACAAGAATCGTCGTCCCCTTCCGAGAATGATAGAAATCCAAATCCTCAGGTCCCTCACCCTGAGATAGACCCCCCTTCCAAATGCGGGTCGGTCCTGTCTTGTAGTTTGCGGTGGATTCATACAACAAAAAATAAAGCACCAGGGTCCATCTCTCTGAGCATCCGCGCAGCAGGGGCGAACCCAAGCGCGGAGTGGACCTGGTGTGTGTCAGGCTAAACTTGGGACCCTTGCTTGACGTACCCCTGCATACATCCAGTGCTGCTTGTGTTGTATATTGCCCCCAACAATCCCGCCAAGGAACGGATCTGGGGTGGTATTGGAGGTCCAAGGCCTTGTTCAGGTTGCTGTGAAAAAGACGTTGAAACTGATTGATCTTTATAATATATAGTGAGATAACATGTAACATAGTGAATCTATCATCTGGTGATTTATGGAACTATTCCAAAGTGATTGAATTGATGTCATGAGAGATATTGTTGTTATTAGATCTACAATATAATATAATATACGTAACTATTAGGGTAATATCAGCAAGAGTAAATGATTGTCATCAATAACAATTGACTACTTAATATTCAGATCAACACTGATTGAAAAATTAGGTCAATTATTATCTGACAATCTATCCGATACCTAATATCTATGATAGATAATATGTCATTACCTTTAGTAAGTGTAGGACTTTAAGTGACAAACTCTGACATAATAAAAAAATCTGGATGGACATGATGCCTTTAACTGGTAACTTTAACTGGTAAGTCTGCCATGGCCAGATACCACATTTTTCGAACGGAAAATGATCGAAGCTGGGAGCGTTTGGGGAGCTGGGGAATTCATGTGAAAAAAAAGTCCAAATCACCAGTGATTTTTGTAGGGTGATTCCATTGCCAGTCAACATCATTCCTTACAAATGGCAAGTTTACCTATGAAAATGATTGTAACATATTGTAACTAGTAATCTTGTCATGGCGATACTTGTTTTTTTGTGGCTTGAATTTGAGTGGTAACTTATCAGAATATTAAAACTTGTATGACTGAGGATTAATGATTAAACTTGCTGACGTACGTACAACTTCTTACCTATCAACTTATGATTACAACGATAGAAAATAACTGTTATTGTAACAGTATCACCATGTATCACCTATTGCCTAGTACAGGAATTCATGGTGTAACTGGAATGCCTGCAATTTTTTAAGCCCAAGTTCAGTGCACCATCCTGCAACCCACGCCCAACACACTGCCAAAGTCACAACGCAGAGCCAGGTCGGGTCACCTCAACTAACGCTGCCGTTCGAGCCATGTGGCCATGGCTACTTGGAGAATCATCTCACAAATCGTATGTGGTTAATAACTGGAGTTAGTTCATTGATTTTTAATGGGATTTAATGGTGACTTAATGGGATAATTAATATAATTAATCGAGAGTTAGTTCATCCATTTATAAATGGGAATAACCGTGGATAGCCCACGAATTGAAAACTTACTAGCCAGGGTTCTTAACCACTTACTAAGTAAGATGATCAGCCAAGTATAATGCTTTTTTTCCAGAGGTTACCCTCCAATCAACTAACATGGCTATGGAAAATGGATGAAAAATCATGTTTATCGGTTTAATTATTTTCCAATCAAAGATGTTGGTTTTTGATAGCTATGTTAAATTACCAGAGGTTAGTTCATGGTAGAAACTGACACAGCTCTGGGCAACCCGAGCAGGTGTTGGGGTGCGTTCAGATTCAGGTTGAGATGGCCTGTTGAAGCGGCGACGTCAACGGTTGCGGCAAGCGTTTTGGCTAGGTGATAACAGGCCAGACCTTGCCCGAGTGGTATCGCTGTAACTGAAACTTTCACCTTGGGAACATACTTACTGGTGCGTTTTACGCAGGGAATTTTAGGGAATGATCCCAGTCATCACAATAATCATCCCAGCAACCCCCAGTCTCCATTCCCTACGTTAAACGCACCAGTAAGCATATTGCTGTCAGATCCAGATGCTATGGATCTTGTCTCATGGTCCCAGGCATGGACAAAAAGATTCGAGCCCTGGCATGGATCAAGCTCGATTTCGCTCCGATTCCACTCGTGTCCAACGCAAATGCCACCGTGCGTTTTACGTAGGGAATGGATGGGACTGGGGGTTGCTGGGATGATTATTAGTGATGACTGGGATCATTCCCGAACATTCCCTGCGTAAAACGCACCAGTAAGCTGAAAATGGATGAAAATGGGCTGTAACCACCCATAACTTCACTTTCTGTTCATAGTTGTCGCATCTTACTGTCTTGATCCTCAGGCGGCCTGCGCGAGGACCAAGGTCGCCCCGAGTTCACCTGCGAATCTCGGAACGCGAGGTACCAAGGGACCCAGAAATTTGGCAATTCTGATCATTTTGAACCAATTATGCCAAACAAATAATGGCTTATTTGGCAATTCTGATCATAATTGAATAAATTGGGATGTCAAACAAAAGCATAAGACTCCAAACATAATTAAAGCATTCATCTTTGGGTTTTGGGGCGACTAAACCAATTCTTGATAGGGCTGGTGATTCTTGCGCCATTCCTGCATGTTTGCTGGAATCTGTCCTTGAGATGACAAAATGCTCAATTGGGAGGCAGGTAATTTTGCGGGCGCGCAGTCTGCATGGTATGATTGTACTTAGGTAGAATGGGTGCCTTTCAGGTTGCACGAAAAACCGGAGTACCTTGGAAGGCCTGCGAATTTTTGAAAGAGTGCCAGAGTTGTGCTTGGAGGGACATACACCTACAGTACTCAGGAATTGTCATATCGAAAAGAACTGGATTGGTTAACCTTTTCAAGGGGAACACCAATCCCAAAGCCATGTGTTACCTAGGATCATTTTAAGATCATGTTTCCAAATAGATATGGAAGCAGGAAATATTTTATTTGAAACCACACACAAGTTCAAACAAATGTGACCTTCTGTACTCCGTTTTTAGGCTGCCTGCCTAATCCACGTTTTGCTAGCTGTATACTATCCACTGGTACACCCACCGATCCATTTTTTGGCCACTAAAATCTTGTCGGATCCATGATTCCCATTGTATACTTGCTATCCACCCTTGTCCTGCCAATGGGCACAATCCAACTTTGACAGCTGGGTTTGTGTGAAAATTCCATAGCTCAAAATCTCATGCATGATCATTATTTTCACCTGTAGACTGGCCATTTTTTCAGGAGTATCCGTTTTTTCTTGACAAAAAATGATCTTGCTGGTTATAGATCCCATTCCATCCTCACCATGTCACTCGTATGATTGGTTTTCTGAACACCCCCCTTTTCCATCTGAAACCCGCCCGGGCCGCGGTGGTCGCTTCGTGAGACTTCATGGCCTGAAGTCGGCTCGGGGATCACAGATCCAATGGATCCCTCAGTTTCTTCGGGGGGCGCAACAAAAATCAGCCACCTGATGGAATGTATAAAGGCTGTTGAGGGACCATTTGTAATCCAAATGTGTGGTGAATGTCCAATGATTTCTGGATGGAAGCAGCCTCAGCGAAATTAACCATCCAACTGGGTCTGATGGGACAGGAGGTCCCTATGGTGCATGATCAAAGGTTGGAAATTCAATACAATAATAGATTCCATGGACTAAATGGACCCACGCAAATCAAATAAATGCATCCTATATATTTCTATGAACTTTGGGGTGTCAATGATTTTGGAGCCCAAAAAAAACCAGAGGTCCTCCCGGCATCCTCCATCCCCCACCTGCTTTGGGCAGCTACGACATGGGCCGGATGAAATTCTAAACAACCCACAAAAAGTCCTGCGATTTATGGCTTTATGGTCACATTGCCCATCATGTAGTTTTTTCTGACTTTAAATTTTCACACCTAATGGCTGAGCTGAAAGTATGTCACTCAGCTGGCATCATTACAAATGGATGACCTTCCGATATCTAAGTGCTCCTCCATTAAGTTGGATTATTATATACATGTGTATTTATATATATATAGACAATCTTTATGTATTGTCTATATATATATATATACATACACCATATATATATATATGTATTATATATATATATTATATATACACATGTCTGTGTGTATTCTATATCTCCCTAGATGGTCCATGTGTTGAAAGTTGCCGCCGCTTGCTGCCCTGCCCGGGCTGGCGCCTCAGGAGCCGGGATGGCGTGTCCATGTAGGCATGTGCGCATGTGCATATATGCCTGCCATACGCTTGCCTTACAGTATCCTCAGAAAAAAAAAAAAAACATGTACGTGTAGATTCAAAACATCCAAAATACTGTATATGCATGTGTGTGCATGTATATATATATATGTGTGTGTGTGTAGTAACGTCGGAGATTCAAAACATCATGAAACATCCATTGCAAACCCGCAAACGTTGAAAAGTATGCCACTCTGCACCCGTCTCCAACCCTCGGTCCCTGTGGTCCCCTACGATCTTTTTCGCCGGGTCCGAAGCTTTCCCGGACCACCGCGGGCAGAAACCAAAGGCTGCAGGGAGATACTCGGGTCAGCGTCCGCGAAAACACGTGTGTATATGTGTATTTCATATGTGTGTACACATATTTGTATATGTATATTTGTATATGTATATGTATAAATATACATATACATATGTATACCTATGTGTACATATATTAATTTCTACTATACACTGTAAATAATATAGATTGAATAATTACATATATTTTGTTGTTCCACGGAAACACGGACTGATCATATCTTCGTCGTTTCACGCCTTCCGAATGAACCTTACTAGGAAACTGGTCGGCCACCATTTGGCTGGTTTACAAATGCTGGGTTGGAACGCTTGTGATTTACCAGGTTTCCAGAAATATCTCCAATCGTCGCCGACTGCATTCGTTCGCGCTTTTTTGTGTTCGAGGTGGAAAACTGCTTCGCCTCACTTGTACTTGCCACGGTAGACCTGGAAGGAATGCTATGGTTTCATGGTCCCGGGGTTTCCAAACCCGAACACCCAAAGAACCTGGGATCCAACCCGGATTTTTGACAACATCTCATCTTCGCAATCTGCAACACGAGGATGTGATGTCTATATATGGGATATATATATAATCATATGTATAGTTATGTATATAATTATGTATATAATTATGTATGTAATTATTTATATAATTATGTATATAATTATGTATATAATTATGTATGTATATAATTATGTATATAATTATGTATATAATTATGTATATAATTATGTATGTATATAATTATGTATATAATTATGTATATAATTATATAATTATGTATATAACTATGTATATAATTATGTATATAATTATGTATATAATTATGTATATAATTATGTATATAATAGTGTATATAATTATGTATAATCATGTGTATATATGATATCTGTAATTTTGTATATATGATATGTAATTATATACATATCATATTATATAAATATACATCATGGAATCCCTCTTGATAGTCCAATTGGATCATCTTGCCCCATCTCTTTCCAGCTTTTTCCCACCTGACATTGATGTAGACTTGCGGTAACAAGGAAATATTTCTGTGTTCCCTAGTCATAGATTTCAAGTAGACTCATGGAACCAATCTGCCAACCCTGGTTGGATGCCTGTGTTTCAATGTGTCCAAACGCAATTTGATAGGCATTCCTTCGTCCCAGACCCTGTCTTGGACGAAATCCAGGCATTGCAAAATCCCCCGTCTCTTTGGACAGTGGATGGTGAGTTCCACATGGCGTCCTCTAAGAGTTCCCTTCAACCTTCTATCTCCATGGTTTCGTTTCTATGGCCGTCACTACATTCTCCTTTCAAGGCCAGAAAAACAAAGGTACCATGGTTCTAATCCATTACTCCCGTAGAAATCCCATGAAATAAATTAATAAATACCACCAATCATCATTAATCCATATGAATCCCATCCCAATTAATCAAACACCCACCAGAGTCCCCATGGAGGATGAATCCACAAAGCCCGGCCCGACGGGCCCAACCTCCTTTCCAGCGTTGTGCTTCTTGGTCACCAAGACGCCGCCCCAATTGGCCTCCAGGACTTGTCACGTGGCGACGTACGTGGCGGCAGGGTATCTGAGAATTTCTGTGGAAAAAAATGGTCCCAATGGATTATTCTTGATTATGACCATGAAAAATGGGATTTTCTTTGGATCAAAAAATGAAACCCCCCTAATTCCAGTGGATTACCATGAAATTAAATCCCATAGAAACCTCAAGAAATCACAAAAAAACATTCCACAGGAAAGGCATCCAGGAAGCCTTCAACACTAAATTTCCGAAAGTAAATGCCTAAACAGAAGCCTGCCTTTTTTGCAAAAGTTTGTTTTACTTGAGATGTTTCTTGGGTGATGTTTCGCTTGATTTAGTAGTGGATCTATTCATCGGGAGTGTGTATATGGTTGTGTTTAATAGTGTTATATATTTATATGGAGATGGAAAAGGAGTGACATCCAAACAAGTGGACCAAGAGTTTGCTAGATTAGATTCTTCGGGTTTTTTCATCGCTTTCCCCAAGGCCTCATCTTTGTCAAAAAGGCCTCTAACAGAAGTGGTCCTCATCCCTGACGTAGAAATATACCCCATTTTCAAACAAACCTATGTATACCAAGAAAAAAATCAGGTTGTGATTCATGATCCAGTCACTACCTGCAATGCCCAAGAGCGGCGCCTTCCAGTACTGGTAGACCCTGATGGGCACCTTTTTGATTTTCCAGTCGGGTCGCATCTGCGGATACCTCAGAGGATCAGCAAATCAATCATTGGTTTAAGGGAAAATCTACACCGGAAACCATAGATTGTCCCATGACATATTAGGGGGTTTTCCTGGCAATTGTCCCTTAAACCAATCCATTGAGCAAACCATGGCTACCCTAAACCAGATGCTCCGCCTCTGGACGTTGGGGGTCCTGGTGAGGTGTCGGTCCACCTCCTCTCAGCGTTGCGCTGCAGGGAAAGATACCAAGAGAAATGAGGGGTTTTGAACCCACCATGCTTGGGATCAACAGGATATCAAGGGATATGAATAAAACTAGAACCATTTTACAGATACAGTGTCTATCTATATATATATAATTATATATATATATACATACATGCATGTGTGTGTGTCATGGGATAGACTGAGATATAGAATGGATGGTTCAAAAAAATGCCATAAAAAGGGCGTGATGGGATATACTACAATATCTCATCGGTTGTTTTAAGTAGATTTTCCCTCGATTCAATCCAATGAATGAAGGTAAAAGCTTTGCTTAAGATTCGCTTCTGATTTTTCCAAGTTTACATGCACCACACCTCTGGTCAACCACCCCCCTGGCGCTGTTGCGCTGTTGCTCTACCGGGACCCTTGGCCACACCTGCTCTAGAGACTGATCGCCCAGGGCTGGCAGGGGAAGGATGACATCCTCCACCTTTTCTGCCCGGTGTCCGGTGCGAAAGAAGCCCTCCTGACGCAAGGAACGAGGCAAAGCCGACATGGAATAGCAGTGGCATCACATCTACCCATCACAGGTCAAGTCAGAATACTAGGTTTCAGCATAGCATTCTTTTCCGTTGACGCGTGGCCGTTGGTTTTTCAGCTGTGGATGGCAAATCCTACCCACAGCTGCCACAACAACTTCTGTATGATCTGCCTTTGGCATTTCAAATTCCTGCTCCATGGTAGGAGTCTCATCTGATCCATGGTAGGATCTTTGAAATTTCAAGTATTTCTCCATGGTAGGAGTTTTTCATTCAAAAAACGCAAAAAGAACCCTCTTTGGGTGGGAGAGGTTTTGGGCCCTACAAAGGCTATAAGCCGAAATACACGTCAAACATGCAAGCATCAACCTATGCCTCTAGCAGATGTCATAGGTTTCAGCATAGCATTCTTTTCCGTTGACGCGTGGCCGTTGGTTTTTCAGCTGTGGATGGCAAATCCTACCCACAGCTGCCACAACAACTTCTGTATGATCTGCCTTTGGCATTTCAAATTCCTGCTCCATGGTAGGAGTCTCATCTGATCCATGGTAGGATCTTTGAAATTTCAAGTATTTCTCCATGGTAGGAGTTTTTCATTCAAAAAACGCAAAAAGAACCCTCTTGTTACCACGGCCCCAACTCTCGACCAGCGATCAGAGCTGGTTGACTGGGCTCCAAAATTGCAACATCTTCTGGGCCTTTTCGCTGAAGGTCAGGGATGGCAGGTGAGATAGGCCATCAGCCAAATATATTTTGGCCACACGGGTCGATTGCCACCTACCTTTGAGCAATGCCCCTCCATGCTTCCTGAAGCTTGGAACAACGCTGTCGCTCCACCCCGCCTGAGGCTATAAGGTCTAAACTTATGTTTCCAAAGATCAAACCTGCTGCAATGATGAGCGAACTCATTCCTGAAGCACTGGGCAGAGCGTGTCCAAATGGGCACATGGAAAAGGTTCTGCTGCTTTCGAAGTGTAATGACCTCCTTCAAGATTTCCAGAGTGATGCCATCGTTAAAGCTGACCATCTCCTTTGCAGCATGTCTAAGACCCGATTTGGTTTCGCTCAACGACACAATGCCAGAGCTATCCCCAATGAGCAGGTCACGTGGTCTCACCTGAAGGCACTCCCCTGTGCGAAGGAGCGCAAAGAAACCTAATAAGATCATTGCCGCAAATTCCAAGTTGCAGTGGTCCAAAGCATACATCGCCCAGGCATGAACAATGGAAGCCACTAGGGGAGGAGCACGGTTTGGAGATTCCAGCTTCCTCCAGACACCCAGTAGCTTCCAGGCCAGCGGTAGCTTTCCTCGTAACCAAGGTTCGAAATGGTGCAGGGCACACAAGGCATCACTGATCTGGTGTTGACTGTCGCCTTTCTCCCAACGTTGTTGGACCCAGTCTGCTACCTTCTCATCCAACTCAACCAAGTCCCTGCTCCGCAGGAGAATGGGCAAAACCTTCCGGACACCTAGGTAGTATCGCTCCTGGGTCTTTTCACTAAGCCCTGCGTCCCGGAGCACGACTTTCGTCCTCTGCCGGACTCTGTCAGCTCGGGAGGTCTTAGTGCAGAAGCGCCAGCGAACGGCTTTCCCCATCCGTTGGGTTCTCGGTTGACTCAACGTGCCCAATGGCCAGAGCCAACCCAAAACCCAAGAGATGTGCGTTTAGCACCTTGAGGACTCTTGCCAGCTGGAGACTTCCGGTGCGCCCCTTGGCCACTATGGACATCGCGACAAAGCTGTCGGTGACATGAAAGACACGGAGGTGTGAGACGTCGAGGTGGGAGATCTGAAACTGGATAGCCAAAAGGATGGAACGGAGCTCCAAAACATTGATATGTTCTTTTCGGGTCCATCGCACCTTAAACAAGGGCTCCCACTTCCACCATGTTGCCTCAACCGATTGCCTGGGGACACTCCTCGGATTTAGCACCTCACCTGTAGTGATACGTATGTCCGAACCTGTATGGTTGACCTTTGAAAGCAGCACTTTATTCAGCGCTGCCACTGTTCCCTTAAAGTCACCCGGAAAACCATACCCCAAAGACCGACAAAGGGGGATCTTCCACCTAATCGGGGCCCGAAACCCCGGTGCCATCCCCATTCTCCTGGTGAGGTCCACGTAGTGCAAGCTGGGCAAGTAGCGAGCACACAAGGCAGCCGCAATGATGACGAAGCTGTAGATGCTGAAGGAGTCTCCCAAAAGCGAAAGGCGCTCGTCCTCATAGGCCTGTTTGGATCTTTTGATATCCGAGGCACTCATACATCGCTTTGTGTGCCCAAAGCCATACCCAAGCAGCAGCTCCCTTTCACTGCTGTTTGTAAGCCGCCACCTGTCGCCCCGCCAGATCACATACTGCGGCAGGTAGTGATAGGGCGGGAACCTGAATCCATCTGCCTTCCACCGTCCGATGGTGTCATCCCCGCACCGGCTGATGCCAGCGGGCCGCACCGGCGGCCTTTTCCGCGGTATGGCCTTCATGGCCGTAGGGAATACTGCTCCTTCTTCTTCACCAGGCCACTCACACCCCGGAGTCAACCAAGCACTCAGCTCCGGGTAAGGCGCCTCCGCTGTGACCTCTGTCCAATATTCCAGCTCCCGAAACCGAAGTCCCCTGAGTTGGCCTTCTACTTCCTCCGAACTCCAACACAGCCGAGGCCGGTTCATTGGAACAGCGCCAGCACTATTCAACCAATAAGGAAAAAAACCCAGCTCCCTGGTGATGACCTCGCACTCCTGCTTCGCCATGCTAGCCACATTTTCTGCGGCATACTTCACCACCACATGAGCCGGCGCCCGCATTTTTATCAGTTTCAAAAGCCTCACAACTTCCCAAAATAGGCCTGACGCTTCTCCGGCCAACCCTTCGCGTCCCGCCTTAGCAGATGAAAGGTCTGTGCATGGAAATCCAGCCCACAGGTGTAGCTCTTCTAGCGGCACCACCTTGCGGAACCACCCATCTACTGTGTCCTGATCTATTGACCTCACATCCTCGATGATTTCCGTGGCGGGCCATCTTTTTGCAGTGACTCGATTGGCTGGTCCATGTATGTCACAGGCAACAACATGTCGTGGGAGCACACCCAACAAATCATAACACCTTATGGAACCTCCTATGCCATTGAAGAGCGACACCACCAATATGTTTGCCTGCTGAGTGCAATCGCCCAAAGAGGCAGCACCCACAAAGTCCTGCCCCTGTCTTGTCAACTCCTTCGAAATGCCCACAGCTCCACCGTGGTTCGAGGCATCGCTTGCGGTGATCATCGGCGACACCTGCGCACCCAAGTAAGCATGAAGGAAGGGCAGGCTGCAACAGCAAGCAAACAACTCCCTCTTAACCTTGGCAATGAGGGGGGCTTCAAACCTCCTCGATGCAGTGAACTTCCAAGTGTGCTCCAGCAGGGACATTGCAGGGCGTCGGAACTGGAAGACGTGTATCCACCTACCTGCCACCACCTGGGCCAGCTTCTTTGAGAGGTGAGGCTGCTTGAGGAGGATCATGGTCGCCTGAACCAACTTGAGCAGTCTTTCAGGTGACCCTCCTAATGTCCTGGCTCTCCCATCCATGAACCCACCTAGCTCCTGGGCTTCCAGCTCCGCCGCCTTCCTCTTCTTCTCCGACGAAACCACACCAGACACGGCCTATGCGCTTTCGGCCAGCTGGTGGAGCTCATGCCCCGACGAAAAGCTCTCTCCCCGCTTACCTACTTCTCCAGCTGCGAAGTTGTCTAAATAGACATGCCACCAGGCCTTACCCTTCTTCCGTGCCTCATCCAACAGGCCTACCATCCAAAGCGGAACAGCACGTCCTCTCAACAGCTGCTCATCTGCAGGGAGCCTGCCCAGTGCCAGAATTCGTTCGCTCGCCTCCTGCATGATGGCGACCGAAGAAGACCATCCCATTGGGAGCACTGAACACCCCAATGCGTATTGTTCTTGTCCTCCAAGGCCGATCTCCTGCCCAGACGCAACCAGGTTGAAACTTAACATGGGGGACCATGACGATGGGATCTTAAAGAGATAGAAGGCATTTTGCATATCACTTTGCCAAACCCGTAACTCTTCCCCTTCCAAAATAATAGTGCTCATCCATGCAGTAATATGGGGCAAGTTTGAAACAGCGCCATGAAAAGTTCTGAGCACAGCATTGGAGGGGATGAGATTCATGATCAACCGCAACACACATTTTCCAGTTGCCAGCCGGGATGATTTCTCCACCCCAAAAAGTCCGTTCAGGACCTTTTGGCCCCGGAAACAAAGGACCTTTTCAAAAGGAACCCAACAACAAACACCTCGACTGACCAATTCGTTGGCCAAACGCAGTTCCGTCCCTTTTTCAACATGGAGTTTACCCTGAAGTTTGGGGAGCTCTTGGCCACAATCTTCCACCACCATCTTTTGAGGATTGCGCAAGAAATAACCCGTGCTTTCGGAAACAAACTTCAAAATGTCAATGCTCCCCCCATGCTCTGGTGGTGGCAAGGACGGTAAAACCTGCGCCAGGGTGATTTCATGGCATGTTCCTACTTCTTCACCTGCATAGTTGACCCGCTTGCTCCGGAGCTCTTTTTCCAACGCAGCAAAGTCTCGATGTTCTGCCTGGCCGTGGCCCAGCAATCGTTTGACTGACAGGCCTACGGCATTCACCAGCTTCCTCTCCAGCTTGGTCCAGCTACCTGGCAAAAACGGTCGCTCATGCCCCGCCAGAGAGTTGCAGGAGAAACAAGCTGCCATCGTCCAGGCCGTCTCGGCCCACTTCGCCACAAAGCCTTCCTCACGGACGTCTGCCAGAGAGGCTTTCTCCAAAATGCAACGTAGGGCACCAAACTCTCCCTCACGGACGGGAAAGGCTCGGCGCAAACGCCTAGCCTGGGGCCACGCGCCACTGGCGTAGATCCCATCCAAAAAACCAGAATTCCCATGCACATGGGCGATCAAGGGGGCCTGGACCAAAAGCCACGCCAGGCTGCAACCAGCATGGCCCAAAGTAGGGCACGACAGTAAAACTTCAGCCCAAGTGGCAGGAGGGCCCGTGCCCGAACCGCTGAGGGAGCTCACGGCTGTATCCAGAGCTCCCCCCCGCTGTTCGGTCACTTCCCAAGGTCGGCCGCATCCTTGTTCTTCTCCCACTCGTTGGCATTCTTCTCTCCTCCTTTCTGCCAGGGGTTCTTCCCCTTTCCCTTTCCTTTGTTCTGAGGCCCTTTGCCCTTTCGACCTTTTGGTTGTGAATCTGACCATGTTCCCCAATCGCTTTGTCTGTTTTGCTTTCCCTTGCCTTGCCAGGAGCCCCAATTTCCTTTTCCTTGTACTTTGTCCACAAGGCGGCCGTGCTTCCTCGACGCCAGAATGAGAGCAGAGGAGGCCGCTGTCGCCTCCTCCATGGGGTAGAGCTCCATGTGACGCGCCGTGCTCCATGACTGATCCACCAATGATTGGTGGAGAGCCATGAAGCGGGCGGATAGGCTGTCGCCTACCTTGGCCAGATCCCCTTTCCTTAGAAGATCTATTGTCACTGAGAGCATGTACATCTCTCGCAGCTCCTTCAGATGTCCTCCATAGTTTGGCCGCACGTGCATGTTGAAGAACGTGGTCAGCTTCACCCCGCCTGTGACTTGATGAGCTCGTCCCCCAACTTCGGTAAATGCATCTTGTTGCATTTGTTCCCTGACGTGCTCCGTCAGAAGTGACAGCGCGCTGCCTGGGGCGTCTCGGCTCCTCTTGCGTAGAGGCGCTTCCAAATCCTCTTCGGAGCTTGCATCTCCTTTGCTCTCCTCCTCCGTCTCCTTTGAGGTGCTCTCTGAACTGTTGCTCGAGCTGACAATCACTCCATTCTTCAACGTCCTCTTTCTCTTTTTCTTCTTCTTCTTTTCGCCACTCCGGCTCTCCTTCTTCTCCGACTTCCCCGTAAGGATCTGTTGCAGCAGGCTGACAGCTTGGGTCCTGCTGCTCTTCTTCTTCGCCTTCTTCTTGTTCTTCTCTCGCACGTCTTGGACAGCGAGAGCTTTCTCCAACAGCTGGCCCGTCAAGCCTTGCATAGAAGCTCCTCTTGTACCCTTGTACAGGGCTAGAGTCCCTTCCTTTGCGGATGGGTCCTTCTCTCTCGAGCGTCTCTTCTTCCGGCCACTCCCCTCCAGCATCGAACCAGTGTTCAGCGGAGGTGTAGGTGAGTAGCCTGTAGACTCTCTGCCCGACCCATCGTCGCCATCCTCTTCCGAGTCGGGTACTTCCTCCACAGGGCTCTTCTCTGCTCCTCCACCAGCATTCCGCAATTCTCGAACCTTCTTCAGCTTCGCCTGCAGCTTTGCCTTTGTGGCCTCGTCCAAACCTTTTCCTCTCTTGGGCTTTGGCTTTTCTGCCTCTTCTGCGTCCTTCTTCCGTGTCTTTTTCGGCTCGGTCTTGGGCTTCGCTGGTGCTCGAGCCCTTCGCTTTGGAGCAACGGCGGCTGCGGCCAGCTCCTTTTGCCACAGCTTTAAGGTTTTCCATGCGTGCTTCTCCACGTACTCGGCGTCGAAGTCCTCGGCGGCCCACAGCCTGATGGCCGTCGCGCCTCCATGGTGCCCACAACGACGCAAGGGACTCCGAGGCAGAGGTGGATGTGCCGTGCGCCCGACTTGAACAGTAGAGTCAGCGCCGCATGCTCCTCCTCTGCCTCGCACCCAAGGTAGTTGACCTCCAGAACGTAGGACCCGTCCAACTCGTTGGCAACTCCTTTGATGAAGAACGCGGCCCAACACTCTACCACGGCATTGACAATGCGATTGGTTTTCAACATGTCCACTTCCACAACCATTCCAGCCAAAGGAGCGATGGTGCTCCATTCCTCCTTATCGTCCAGAGAAAGCTCCTTTCCAGAAGTAAAGGGATGATCCATCTCAACGTCCTAGACGGGACAGATCTAGACCTCCCCCTGGCTGCTCTGTGCTAAGCTTCCAGAAGGAGCGGCTTGGCGCCCTGTGCACCAGAAGCTCTGGATTCGTTGCCAACCTATGCAACCTCTTGTGCTTCCTTCCACCGCGTCTTTTACCTGAACGGTGAGAATCACGATCTTCTCGACGATGGCTGTGTTCTCTTTTCCTCCTTGAGCTTGAGTGATGTTCTCTCGTTGTCGATGTAGACCAATTGACTTGGTACCTGGATAGTCCCGCTCAGGCGGGGGAGGTCCAGGAGGCGACCGAGGTCTATGCTCCCGGATTGGCTTGTGGTCAGCGTCTCGAGGTGGACTGCGCTCCTCACGTCGCTCCTCCTCTTCACTCTCTTCACCTTCGTCCTCCTCGCTGTGCTCCTCCTCTTTGCAAGCCCTCTTTGGCGGGGATCCCTCGGCCTCGCGCTTCCTCGGTGGTGCAGGAGGTTCAGGCACACGTGTGTCCCCTCGTGCCCGGCTGCTGCCAGCACGGGGTTCAGGTACTGATCCCCCGCTCCGGGTGAGCCCAGCGGTGACCGACCTGAGTGCCTTTACCTGTCTGCACGTTGACACCACCAGGTCGTTAGCAACGTGCCGGCCTCCCTCGCTGTCCCAGTGAGCGGTGAGCTCCCGGCCAAGGGCTTCCCACCCGATACAGCCGGTACACCAGCTATCACCCTCCTGAGCAGGGAAGCCTCGGCACTTTGCACAGACCTGGGGTGGCATCTACTTCCCTACAAAGGCTATAAGCCGAAATACACGTCAAACATGCAAGCATCAACCTATGCCTCTAGCAGATGTCATAGGAATAATTACAATAATCATGATGGTACTAGTTAGAAATGAATGTTAAAGTGCAATATTACTGCAGTAACAAATCATGATAATGATAGTAATGGTAGTAAGATTGCGGTTAATGATGATGATTCTGGTGATGGAAGTAATAATTGTAATAATTGGGCCCGGTGGTGTGATTTAGTACAAGTAGGAAGGGATTACACTGGTGAACCATTGAAAATCCGGAAGTTCTTATTGAGTCGATAATGCAGAAAGATGAATCCCCGATCACTGATACTCAAATTCCTCCAAGAAAAGCAAACAGGTTTATACTTCAAGAATAAACCTAGGATACTACCCATCCTGAAATCTCCACAAACTGCCACCGAAACCTGTCGCTCGTATCAGCAATCAGCCCCGGGTTTGTTTGTTACTCTTCCTCTCGTGGTTGGCTTCCACCCATTTTTCATCATGTTCCGTTCTTAAAGCCTTTGTTGGAGAATCTCCCCAATGTTCAATGTACACATATATATATATATGTATATATATATATGTATATATATATATACACCTTCCCGTAAACTAACATAGTATATATAGGCTTGTCCAGGCTTCTGGAACTGCGTAAACCTGAATACGATTGGGGGGTGGGGTGGGGTGGGATGTTAACGTTCATGTGAACTTGCGGCAGCAGTTGATGCTACGCACACGCGGGGTGGGAAAAACTGGTCTCACATGTTTCTGGTGATGATGATACTGATGATGATGATGATGATGATGATGATGATGCTGATGATGATGATGATGATGAGGATGATGATGATGAACATGACCCAAATGAAACTTGTTAATTCCGCGACGAAATTTCGTCACGGAATGGACAAGTTTTACCAACCTAATTCAGGTTTACGCAGTTCCAGAAGCCTGGACGAGGCTATATATACACCTTCCCGTAAACTAACATAGATGTGAAAACCTACACCATTTTTCCCAAGGTTTTCCCATGGGTTTTCCACATCTATGTCAACGTTTACCTCGGGGTTATCCCATTCACCACCATCTTTGTTGTCGAAGCCCAAACAAACCACAATTTTCTTGGTTAAAACCTCCATGACTTAGGAAAGCTCCATATGCCTATAATATATATTATATCATATATATATATATTATAATATATATATATATTATATTATATAGATATACATCAGATGATTGGTTTTATGTCATCTTTGGAATTGTTGAAAATCCCACCATTCTAGGGCCCAAGAAACTATCCCCTTGGCCTCATCGAAGGCCTGTCGGGGACACCAGAAATCCCATGGGGATGATTTTTGAGGCTTCGCTTCACGTGAGGTCGGCAGGTTTTTTACCCTAAATGCAAAGTTCATGAGATGTTGATAATGTTAATGATTAACCAATGATAAATGCAAGTTACCCAGATAATTTACCCAGGCAAATGTTAATAATGTTAATAGATTTGAAATGATAGTGACTCATATATCATTCATGTATGATGTTGATGGAATTATGGAAAAAAAAAACTGGGTAGTAAACACAGTTATTTCACCTCAACCAGCACCCGGATTCTGGATGAGGGTCACCAGTCTGCAAGTCAAGGCGAATCAAAGAATTGTCGCTGGGCTTCTGGTGCAAATTGGTTCATGTAAGCAGGCACTCCCACGAAAGATGACATTGGTTTGGAAAATTCTGGTACGTGTCACGTATATTGTAGTACTGTATTTTGCCGACATTTCAGGATATAAACTTACAATGACATACAAATTCCATGTCAAACAAAGTATGTTTTTACAACCCCATTAACCCATCACCAATTGGGCTTAAATTGGCTTCGCATGTTCCTTTTAATCACCCACAAAAGCGAACCCACCCAGTTGCGACGACACCAAACTGCCTCTCTCGTGCTCCGTGGCCGGCCCTGGTACTTGGAGAATAAGCCTTTCCCGCGCACGAAGAGGTCACCTAACGCCATCGAAGATAAAAATGCGGCAGGCCCGCGGATTTTTATGGCCATGATTTTGGGGCTTTAAATTGCGGTCCCATAAATCAATAAATATCATAATTGCATGCATGTGTGTGTGTGATGATGATAATCATTACAATAGTAATAATGATGATAACAAAGACAGTAATGATTTCAATAAAAGCACCTATTGATCCTTTGCACAACCTATTTAGCGTTGCGACATCAATACTGTACCCCACTCAGACCCTAATATTAGTTCAATCGTTTGGTGGTTATACTCTAAGATGCTCTAAGAGTGTGTTCTGAAATCATATTTGAGCAACTGGCTTTGTCTGAAAATAGGATACACCCAATTCCAATAGGTTGGAAAATCATCTTTCCCTAGAAAAATTGATTTTTGGGCGAATCAGTTGTTTCCCCACAAATTGAGAGAAATGGGGGTGGTGATCAACAAAATGGATCTTCGATCTTCCGCAATTGGTTTCTCGGCTCTGTATAGAATAGCTTGGCTGATTGGGGCCTCCACAATTAAACAACAACTGGTATGCAATGCAGTTCAAAACAAACCTGGCTGGATGTTGATTGATGATCTAGAATTGCAGAAACTTACATGTTTGAATCAGCAAACGCTGTTTGGTTGTCTGATATGGTTTCGGCGTAGCCAACTGATTCAGCACAGGGGGCCTCGTTCATCTTCCCATGTCCAATTTCGCTGCAATCTGCAATCCTTATTCCATCAACTCTGGTAATATCTGGTAATCAAAAATGGTCATTCAAACTATTCAAACTCCGAAAAGAAACTTATATATATATATTATACTATATTATTATTATCATTATATATATATATATATGTATATTACCCTCTAGTTATTTAACATAGCTATGGAAAATCACATTTTTTTCATAGGTAAACCATCTATAAATGGGCCATCTATACCATGGCTATGTTAAATAACCAGAGGGTATATCTGAGCTTTGAATCATTGAACATTCACATGACCCCGCCCAGCCGCCTTCCATGGTGTGCCAGTCAAGGCCGGAAGTACAGCGGCCCTGCGAGGTGATGATTTACAATTTCAAGATGTATCCATGTACTAAATAATGTCAACCCTGGATTAATAAACCCCTAGGCTGTTTGATTGGGAGGGTACCATTTAAGTATTAGATTATGACTATTGGAGGAGTACCCCCCTAATTAATAAACCATGGTTTATTAATCCGGGGTTGACATTGTACCATTAATATACCTAAGAATTTTCATATCATAAAACATCATAAAACTATGGTACGAAATTCGTTGGGTATTACAGGGTATTACAGTAAGTCTTTATGAAACCATCCAATTTTTAAGAGCCAAGCCGCAATCCGTATGGCTGTCGATACACATAACCCTCTATAGCTGGGCTGGATAGCTATGGGATCATTGGTTGATAGAGAGATTGTATCCAGGATCGGATGATGGGAAATCTGCAGCAAAGCCCATTTTTGATGGCAACACAGAATGATTTCCTCTAGATATTCCCTTCGATCCATTGTATTGTTGATCACGTCACATCCCAGAGACCATTCTCTAAGTGAACAGCAGGGCACCAGGGTTGTGACCATTAGCCTGTTGACCTGCGGGTGTGGACGCGTTTGTGCTTGGAGGAGCACCACGTGCGATTGGCTTTACCTGTGGATATGGATTTTTCTACGATATGGCCGCTGAACCAAGACAACATCAAAAATGAGTTGGGCAGTGCGCCAAATCCCTCTACCAAACCCCACACAGCAAAAGGTAGTACAACACCCAAGGAATCAGCCGTAGAATCGAGACCTCCCCACTTCTCTGCAGAAAACTTCCGCGTCTCCATGTTGCCCTCACCTCAGACTCCTGAACCGTGTAAAGGGCACCAGCCTCCGGACCAGTGCACACATCCGGTTGCGCTTCAGAGTGTGATGGTTGGTGCTTCTCAAGGGTTGCATCTAACAATCAGGTCACGCCGGATTTCGGTCAAAGATGAAGAAAAATGGGACCTATAAAATGTTTCCTGCATCTGTGATAAATTTTGACCCACACCCATGAGCAAAGTACATCCATCACACTGTTCTTACCGCTGCTTGTTCCACTTTTGATGGATGGTGAATGGAATTTTGGGGTCCTATCGTTGGAATCGCAAGGGGATCATCCCTGACTGGGGATGTCCCATATCCGGCTGAGAACTGGGAATGTTCCCTCCGGCTATGCATCAGAACCAAAAGCCTGCAATTTCTAGGTGTTCTCACATCAAAATATCTGGCAAAAATGGATGCATGATAGGAACCATACCCATGTTTTCTTAGTTCTCCCACAAGACTACAAACGTGCCAGCTCACTGTCCAAAAACTTGCAGCGAAAACTCCGAGGACAGTGCGGAGACACATAAGCAAAGATAGACCCAAAGATGGAAGCCCTACCAAAGGGCCAGGTACCGGTCCACAGTGAGACTGGGCCCTGTACCCCGGTTACAGGGTGCCCCTTGCAATGGATCCACCTTTGGTCACCCAGACAAGGCAAGCTGTACAAGTCGATATATACATGTTCGAGCTGTCTGGTGTCCTCAAAAGGCAATGATCAAAAAGATGTACCACCTTGCTGGTACTGACCAGATACGAAGATACAGTGCGTGTGCATATGTGAATACATATAGTCTAGTGATCTAGTTTGTTTCATGGTTAAATTATCTGGCTGATGCCAAGCATCTAGACATCTTAACATCTCCAACAGACAAAAACAGCATTCCACTTCATATTTTTTGACCATCGTGCCATCTGCTGCTGGCAGTCACTGAAGCGCAGTGCTGCCCTGAAAATTTGGGTCCCACCGCTCACCTGCAAGACCGGCCGCCAGGGACCGGCCAGGAGTGGTTGCAACGCATGTAACCAGACTTATAGTGTTTATAACACTATCATCAAATACCAAGTATCACTTACCGGAAATACTTAACTATCACTTAACAAAAGTATTTATGGCAGTTGTGATCATAGTGATAGTTACTGCAAGCCTAGTTCTGGAGAGTTCTGGTAGTCGTAACCCCGGTTACACTGGGATGTAAATGGATGTAACTGGGTATGACTGGCAGGTGCCCAATAATGTGAGTACAGAACGAAATCAGGTGTGACCATATCCCCGGCAGATGTGCACCCCATGGCTTTCCAAAAGTGTGTCCATCAAACCATCTCTTTGTTTTGACCTTTCCATACCAAAAGAAAAGTAACTAATCATGACTAATCATGACTATAGTAACTACAACTAACCATGAAACATAAATACCACTTTTTGCCCGCCACAGGCGTCCCTGATGACAGCAATGCTCAAGGGCCGCCTCGCTTCAGGAGCCAACTCAGGGTCCTGGCGGGAATTTTAGCTGGGGTCAATTGAGACACCTGAAGAAGTGGAAGCCAAAAAGTGTTTCAAAGTTTCAAAGAAACAACCTGAGACTCAAGACCCTGTTGCTTCTGTCAACTCTTTCGATGTAAACTCCGCACAAAAATCGTCCGTGGAACCACCTTTCACGCGGCAAAAGGATTCCCTTTCACATGCGATCCCAAGAAGCCTTCAAACCTCCTTCGAGGCCCTAAAATCTCACCCCTCAGCGGCCCAGAGCTCCTGGTGCCAAGGTGACGTATCTGGACTCCACCCCGCAGCGCTGGAAAGACGCCCGTAGCACCTGAAAACTTCAGCTGAGACGAGGCATTTGGGGGAGGTCAAAACGTGTCTAAACCATTCTAAACCAACCTGTTGTTCACATCCAGGAAATGCTATCTGGTGAAAAAAAAAGAAAGAAAAAAAACAACAAAAGACCCTGGGATTGGACTTTGATGGACTTTGAACTTCCTTATCTCCATTTATCACCTCCCCTTGAAACTGGCGCAGACAGAGATCTCTCGTTGTGTCACCTGCATGGCAACAGCCGCGGCCAGAAGCAACATGGCAGCGAACATCACAGCCATGACCTCCAGCAGCGTGCTGGAAGCATTCGCTGGGAAAATCAATTTTTGGTGGTGATAAGTAATATGATGTACAATGTGGTGCCCCCAAGATAGCTAAGTTGGTTTATAACTCCAATAACTATGGTTTATGGTACTTATAACTATAGTTAATGGGCTTTATAAACCAACTTACAACTGGGGGGCCCCACATTGTATGTATATAGTAATCTTTGGAACAAAGGAAAGGAATTTCTCTCATGTTCATGACAGGTAGAAGTTCATGGAAGGAAAAAAACATGCTAACCTTCTGTGAAGTACAGTGTATTGTGGATACCCTCGGGTGATCAAACATGGCCGGCTGGCAAATCTCCGAACTCAATGGGCATCAAATTTTCCATGGAAAAAAAAACACCTAACATCACCTTTCCATGATTCAGCTCTCAGCATCAGGCCCGCATCAAACTCTGGCCTCGCAGGTGGGTCACTGGCTCTTTTCTCATGGCAAACTGTGGTTGAATGCGATTCTCGGCGGGACATTGGTTTTGGATTCCACATGCATTGACTGAAAGTTCACCTATTACCCTGGCGCAAACTAACATAGATGTGGAAAATCACCATTTTAGCAGCTAATTCATCCACAAATGGGCCATGGCTTCCACATCTATGGTGCGGATCCAGCGGCTTCGTTCGTCGCCGTAGAGCTCTACGACCTTCTCCTGATTCAGAGCACAGCAGAAATTGCTTGGGATTGAGGATATGACATGATATTACCACCCATCATGTGGATATAATATTATATTTCATGGGATAAAGGCGTAGAGTCGTTGGAAAGACACTCGTTCAGAAACTTCAAGGCCTTTGTGATGAGAATGCTCTAGGTCCAGAGATTCGGGATGATTGTGGCATGTTGTGTGGTTTTTGTCTGATGGAGTAGCCCTAATTCCATTGGTTAATGATCTTGATCCCCAAAAAAGAAAACGTCATGTCGGTGGTAACAAACAATTTTCAGATACACCTTTATCCCATTATATCCTCATTATGTGCGGTTATATCCCCATATAATCCCATTTATATCCCATATGAACCCCATTAATATCAACCTTTAAGAACATTGGCATTGTGTAAAACAGCATAATCCCATTAACATCCCAATGAACATCATTATCCCATAAATTCGTATGGTGTATAGCTACCAAGATGGATTGATCATTGATCCAATATTCATCCCATTGATATCCCAGATAAAAGCAGAAAATCAGAAACATAGATTGTTTTATTTGTCTATTATATATATATATACATATATATATACGTATATGTTGTACCATCTTTAGTTTTCGATCTTTTAGCACCATGCATCTGCACCACATTCACCATCCCCCGGCAGCCTTTCCAAGCAGGTCGCAAGCACAGGCTTCGGGCCCCCGACCTGGCGACTTTCGGGATACCCTGCCTATCTCTAGCCATATTTTCATGCAGAAAACATGTTCTAAACCATTGGATTTTGGTTTGTGATATCGGGAAGGTTTCGACTCTGGTTCAATCCCCTGCCGGGGCCTGAAACGATTTCGGCCCCAATCATGCCCTGATCCTTAGCTGCTGCCGATCAACCTTCAACACAGGCCACTGAACAGCTGTGCAAATCATCACTGTGACTGTGCGATTTCAAGATGTTCGGAAGGCAAAACTCCCTGAACTCTTTGACCCGACCAATAGCAATTTGAAACAGGAATATCATCATCTTCCACTACCCATTTGTTGGGGATGTCTTAATCGCCCAGAGACCCTCTCTTAGGTCCCCCCACAGAATGCGACAGCGCGTGACAGTGCACCTTGCTAGATGTAGAGATCGAAGGTCCACGGTTGGTTGGGCATTTCCAAAAGCTCACAAGACTAACTCCTACTAACTGCAGATTCTCGCAGGGAGCCATTTCTAGAGAATCGTCCCTTTCCAAGGTATGGTCCACCCCAGGCATCACAACATACCCCCCGCTGCAAGTGTTCTGCCAGAGTTCATTGGCTAAAGATCAAAAGCTGCCTTTTGGGGTGAAATCCTCTATCTTGCTGATGATGCTGAAAGCTTCTCTGTGTTTTCTATGAATTACGTGTTCCACATGGATTTGTACCTCGATCCTCCAAGCTGCTGCTTTTTAGATGAAAAGGTACATAAAATACTACAGCATGATCCACTTTGAGTCCTTTCTCGAGAACTTTGACCTTTTGGCAAGATTTGATGCCTGAACTCCATCTGGCAATGGTTGTCACAACCATCTCGGACCGGGGCCCTGGGTCATTGCAGGTCTACCAAGGGGCCACTTCGGTGCCGTGGAAGTCCACCGTGCTGAAGCGCACCCTGGCCTTGAGCAGTGCCAGTGACACATTTTGGAACCAGATTTTTCGGGTGCGTCTGAATATGGGGGATGCCCAAACATCGCCTTTTATGTGTGAAATGTGAGAGTTGTGTCTGAATGATTGGGCATTAGATTCGGGCATTTTCCAGTCAATTTTTGAGAATCCATTTTCCCTGGTAGATTCACCACCATCTTGCACCTTTGAGTCGAGCGTGTTCTGGTAGGTGTCGTGCCAGTCACCAGCCTGTCGCCAGGGGGGGAGAACGGGAGGTGCACTGGTTTTTGACAGGCGAAGACAGATCAAAATCATCAAAATCTCCGGGCATGGATCATGTTTTGATGATTTTGGGCAGAAACCAAACAATTCCAAAGGCAAGAAAACATCAGTTGGACCTGCTGGGTCTGACATTGATCTGCAAAGATCTCAGGATTGGTCGCACCTTGAAGTAAGGGTCGTTCCCAGCAGGCGTATCTTGTAGCTGAAAGGGCCAAGTATGTTGATGAAAACCTCGAACCGAAGAGGTGGACAGGGACTCGACATGTGATAAGGAAAAGTCATGCTGCTATCCTTATAAGTTGGGATGATACCTAAAAATGTCCATGAAGTACTCACCAACTTTACCAACTTGCAGATCCTAAAGAATCCAATGACGTGTGCTGAACAATTCCCCGTTTGTCGTTTATTTACAGTACCTCTTGAAAGCGTTTTTCCCATTAACATTAACACGTTCACATGGCGGGCTCTCCGCACAATCCTTCCTGCCACGGCACTGTGCTTGTTGATACCGGAGATTTCCCGTTGCACCACTGCGTCTCTGGGCCATTGGTGGAGATAAGCCTTTGGGCCCTGGAAAAGATGGCCATCCACTGATCTGGTCGAATTGCCTGGTTTCCCAGCACCCCAAAATACAGTCCGTTGGATCAAGCCACAAAAAATATGCCAAACATTAGACGACACACACTGCACGTTTGAATCGTTTCAGTCCAAGTCTCCCAAGCCCATGGGACTCTTGCAGGAGCAGTCCGGCACCGTCATCTCACCAGTCAAATCCTGGAGGTACTGCGGCCTGTTGGATGGTTTCCAAGGAGTCAGGGCCTCAAAAAAGTCCAGGTCTCCAGGTTGCACCGATTTGATGGAGAATAAATTGCCCACATAGGAGGCCACGCCACTGCCAGGGTTGCTTGAAGACATCACCTGTAAGGGTGGCTGGAGATCCCGAAACTCATCCTTAACATGGCTATCATTTTCCCGTAAAACATAGATTTTTCCTGTACAAATCCTCGAAGTTCATGAACTTTCTGGAGGCATCCGTTTTTCCTCGCGGCGCACCTGGTGTTCCGTGTCAACATCTCCAACTCGCGGGCAGCGTACCGCGAGCTCAGCGCGTCCCCCCGGGGGAAGCGAAACATGCTGGATGAAGCGGGGGAAATCGTTGATGTAGATGCCGTCTTTAGCCAGCAGGGCCACCTCAAAAACGGTCACAAAAATGTGGAAAAAATATGCTGGGATTTGTGGATGTGAATTGCCCAAAAGATGGGATTTAGTATCCCCATAAACTTTAAGAGTGATACGAATGGGATTATGGGGATATTACCAGCCATAATGGGGGCGTAAGGGGATATTTAACGAGTGTGTGTCTCAGAAATCGCGGAAAAAATATGGGTATGTTAACAGGAAAAAATGACAGTAAACCCCATTGGTTTTGAGTATGGGAAAGCATCACCGTACCAAATGGACAAGTTGGCTGAAGATATCTCTAAATTTCCGGGTTACAAAACTGAATAAGTTTATCTGCCAATCCCAAAGTAGAAGAAGAATTGGCCATCTACAGCCATCAGCAAAGGTGATTCACTGACTCCAAGCCGCAGAGTGTGGAAAAACAGTTTCCCTTGTGTCCCCACATCCTATCAAATCTCAATCGCCATGTCTCAACAACTGCTTTTCATCCTGAAGTTTTTCTGGGTGTTTGGAACTCAAGGCCACTCTTTACCCATCACTGTAGCCACCATATCCTCCATATCCTCCATATCCTCTATATCCTCCATCCCCCACCTCACAAGTTCCAAAGCTCAGGTAGAGCCAGCTGGACACTCCCGCCATCACTAGGCGTAAGCGGTGCCACTCCGTGGCTTTCACCGTCAGCGTGGGGCGTTCCGCACCGTTCACCAACCACAGGTCCTCGCCGATGGACCACGGTGTCCACTTTCGAATTGGTCGTAGGTGTCTGAAAATGAGGTAAACCCCCAATTTATAGCAATATTCTTGGGGAAAATGATTATAAAACCCCTAGATGTGGGGTTTTTCCTTCATTCCAAACCCAAATGGACGCTGAAAGACCAGCGACTCCACATCCTGAGGGCTCGTGCTCTGGAAAAGCTGATCGCCCGAAAGAGCTGCCGCCTTTTCCAGCAATGAGAAGGGAAGGTTCCTGGCGTCGTCGCCGGAAATTTTTTGGGATCTCTGGTGATTGCTTCCCCAGCCCACAGGAAATATGACTTGAAATTAAGTCATCATTCCAAAGAGGCTTGACAGCAAAGAATCGTTCAGGCCACCAACGAAAGCAGGCTATTCCTCCTGTCATTCGCATGGTGGCTGCTGACAGATTGATCTTACATATAAATACTACATATATCTATATGTGTATATATATATATACATAATATATTAATATATATATATATAGATAGTGTTCAAGTTCGCAACTGTCACAAATCCTTTACAGTAGTTGCTTCTGGCACACAGCCCACTATCATCCAATGTTGATTCACATCAGCACATGCTATCAGCCAGGTGAAAGTAAGGATAATCAATGCATTGGTTTAGGGGAAATCTGCAGGAAATCATGTGCTTTTTTGAACCCACCAACTATAGGGGTGTCGTGCAAAATTTCCCACCAATTTTGGAAGAGCTGGCATAGTTGCCCCATCCTCAGGAACATCCTGAGCCCAGAGATTTGCGAAGTCAGGTACATAGCTTATCTGTTTGATTCGTTTAGATAAAAGAACGAAGAAATACCATCATCAACTAGCAACTTGTGTTTTTGACCGGGGGGGGAGGTTCGGGTTCGACGGGGGTGAGTTTCCAAGGGAGTCCAAACAGTCCAAAGAGTGTTCCAAAACCAAGCCGGCTCGGCTGCAGCATCAGAATGTGATCCGGCATGTTTTGCAATTGCTCCGACAGGAAACCTGACAAGTGTGATGAGGTGAGAACCTTCCTGCAAGTGGCAAAAACTGGGGGATAATGTGGGATAGAGTGCGGGATATGTATATATATATATATTATGGTATTGGTATGCGTATAATACATATATATATATGTGTGTTGTGCATTATATTATATTACATTATATTATGTTGTATTCCAGTATATTATATTATATCATATTCTTTTGAAATATATTATATTATATTATATTATATTATATGATATTATATTATATTATATTATATTGTATTGTATTAACTATATATACATGTGATATATATATATATATGTTATATATGCATGCTGCAAGACTTAAATTGGGTCTCCGTCATTCATATTGTCATGTTCTGTGTCAGATGAACAATGGCATGGTAAGGGGTCAGGTGCAGTTCCCTGACGGAAATTCCGGGGTCTTTGTATGATAATGCCAAGAAATTCAAGTGCTTGAAACAGATGTTTTGGAAGCCAGGTATGAAGACATGTACTATGGAACCAAACTCAACCAATTCCAAAAGCAGAAGAATGGTACCATGGATGCAACACCTCCATGTTCACATGCAAAAGTCATCACTGGACGTCTGAAAGTTGCTCTTTCCACACCATCATTGTACATCACGCTGCTTATATATCCCCATCATATCCACACTATGTTGGCTGGATGAATCAACATCTCTGCAGGATGAATCACGTTTTTTGCAAGCCTTCGTGGCTGATGGTGCTGAATCTTTGAAAATTTAAAAAGATTGAAGCAAACATTGATCTCGATGTGGTGTTCTCGCTCCAAATCAAGCGGGAAAAACATCTAGCTCAGCTCTGGCCAATCCAGGATCGAATTAGGTACACTGGAGATCTTTTTCAGCATCTTCAGTTGCCTCACCATGGTTCACCTACATCTCTCTCTATCCCTCTATAGAGGCAAAATCGTGAAACTGCCACTGCGTCCTAGAATTCGCTACAGTACACCTGTCGTGAAAGTAAATACAATAGGTTTTGAAAGCTTACCAATGTGCGTAAGGCAACGTCAGCTAGGACTTTTTGATCTGTCGCAGAAAAACCATTGACATGGAGGTACCCTGTTTGGTACCTGTTTGTCACGCAGGTCTGCAGAGACCAACTTTTCAGTCACCACCGCAAATTCGTGTGGCTTGAAGTTGCTACACTTTGCTGAGCCGATCTTGCACTGTGGAACAGTCGGCACACAACTACAGCGGTGTCACTCCGCTGCACGAGGCAGCAACCTGCTGGAAAATGCCGCGGAATGACACCGCTGTAGTTCCTCTGCCAGGAAAATTGAGACCACAGCTACGTGGTGTTTGTCTGCATCGATTGCCCCAGGTAGTCTATCCATTGGCCAATATCGCGGCAAATGCACGCTCTGGGGCTTGAAGTTGCTACACTTTGCTGAGCCGATCTTGCACTGTGGAACAGTCGGCACACAACTACAGCGGTGTCACTCCGCTGCACGAGGCAGCAACCTGCTGGAAAATGCCGCGGAATGACACCGCTGTAGTTGTCTGGAGGTCCTCTGCCAGGAAAATTGAGACCACAGCTACGTGGTGTTTGTCTGCATCGATCGCCCCAGGTAGTCTATCCATTGGCCAATATCGCGGCAAATGCACGCTCTGGGGCTTGAAGTTGCTACACTTTGCTGAGCCGATCTTGCACTGTGGAACAGTCGGCACACAACTACAGCGGTGTCACTCCGCTGCACGAGGCAGCAACCTGCTGGAAAATGCCGCGGAATGACACCGCTGTAGTTGTCTGGAGGTCCTCTGCCAGGAAAATCAGACCACAGCTACGTGGTGTTTGTCTGCATCGATCGCCCCAGGTAGTATATCCATTGGCCCATATCGCGGCAAATGCACGCTCTGGGGCTTGAAGTTGCTACACTTTGCTGAGCAGATCTTGCACTGTGGAACAGTCGGCACACAACTACAGCGGTGTCACTCCGCTGCACGAGGCAGCAACCTGCTGGAAAATGCCGCGGAATGACACCGCTGTAGTTGTCTGGAGGTCCTCTGCCAGGAAAATCAGACCACAGCTACGTGGTGTTTGTCTGCATCGATCGGCCCAGGTAGTATATCCATTGGCCAATATCGCGGCAAATGCACGCTCTGGGGCTTGAAGTTGCTACACTTTGCTGAGCAGATCTTGCACTGTGGAACAGTCGGCACACAACTACAGCGGTGTCACTCCGCTGCACGAGGCAGCAACCTGCTGGAAAATGCCGCGGAATGACACCGCTGCAGCCGGTTTGCCAGGAGAAATGAGACCACAGCCGTATGGTCTTTGTCTGCTACCCCATTATGCAAGGCAGTATCGAAAGCCCTAAGTAACTACCAATCCGTCGACAAATATCGCGGCAAATGCACGCTCTGTGGCTTCACTTTGCTGAGCCGATCCTGCACTCTGGAACAGTCGGCAGCAACCTGCTGCAACATGCCGCGAGATGACACCGCTGGAAGTGTCTGGACGTCCTCTGCCGCACCGGTTTGCCAAGAGAAATTAAGCCACCGTCGTGTGGTCTTTGTCTGCTACCCTGTATGGAAAGCAGAATGGAAAGCCCCAAGTAACTACCAATTCGTCGGCAAAGATCGCGGAAATCACAGCACCCCAAAATCCAGCCGTGCATCATGATGTTCTCATGAACATGGCCATAAATCACAATCAACTTTTGGAGGAATCTTGTGTCAACATGTGTCAACCCAACTGCCATCCATTTTTTTGAAGCCGCTCACTCAGGAAGCAACGTCACCTGCAGCAGATGGGTCTTTCATCCAGACAGTGATGCATTTTGGATACAAGGCAGAAAAATTGAGATTTCACCAGCAAAACATTGGGACTTGACCAGCAAACTTACGCTAGATTTAAGGGATGTGCGGAGGTAACTATGGGTCTGTCCAAATATGGGGTGTCTTGTCAAACATAATTTGAGGAAAATGAGAATTCAATCATGGGTATTTCTAGTAGAATGGGTCGTAACCAACAAAATGTTTTGGGTTTGCCCGAAAAGTATGGCTTAGGAACGCGCAACAGCGAAGGGATGTGGGGTCTTCAACTGCAGAACAGTCACCACCTTAGTCTCGATCGCCCCAGGTAGTCACCGATCCATCAACCAATATCGCGGCAAATGCACGCGCTGTGGCTTGAAGTTGCTGCACTTTGCTGAGCAGATCTTGCACTGTGGATCAGTCGGCACACAACTACAGCGGTGTCACCGCGCTGCACGAGGCAGCAACCTGCTGCAACATGCCGCGAGATGACACCGCTGGAAGTGTCTGGACGTCCTCTGCCGCACCAGTTTGCCAAGAGAAATTAAGCCACCGTCGTGTGGTCTTTGTCTGCTACCCCTGTATGGAAAGCAGAATGGAAAGCCCCAAGTAACTACCAGTTCGTCAGCAAAGATCGCGGAAATCACAGCACCCCCAAAATCCAGCCGTGCATCATGATGTTCTCATGAACATGGCCATAAATCACAATCAACTTTTGGAGGAATCTTGTGTCAACATGTGTCAACCCAACTGCCATCCATTTTTTTGAAGCCGCTCACTCAGGAAGCAACGTCACCTGCAGCAGATAGGTCTTTCATCCAGACAGTGATGCATTTTGGATACAAGGCAGAAAAATTGAGATTTCACCAGCAAAACATTGGGACTTGACCAGCAAACTTACGCTAGATTTAAGGGATGTGCGGAGGTAACTTTGAGGAAAATGAGAATTCAATCATGGGTATTTCTAGTAGAATGGGTCGTAACCAATGTTTTGCTTTTGCCCGAAAAATATGGCTTAGGAACGCGCAACAGCGAAGGGATGTGGGGTCTTCAACTGCAGAACAGTCACCACCTTAGTCTCGATCGCCCCAGGTATACACCAATCCATCAGCCAATATCGCGGCAAATGCACACTCTGTCGCTTGAAGTTGCTGCACTTTGCTGAGCCGATCTTGCACTGTGGATCAGTCGGCACACAACTA